TTTATATACAAAAACTTCTGTATTTGATATATATATATATATATATATATATATATATATATATATATATATATATATATATATATATATATATATATATATATATATATATATATATATATATATATATATATATATACAAAACATTCTCATACTATCTAAATATAATAAGTAGGTATATAAAAACATGAGTATGTAACAATATTACAAGCGAACAATAATGTAGTATTTCGTAACATTTATCTCTTAAGAGAATGCTTACGTCTAATTAATTTAATTTTATATATGTGACGGTCATTAACACGTCAAATGGCGTTTAAAGAAATATTAATTGAAGTTTTTACTTTTTTTATGCAACTAAGAATTTCAAACAAGCTGACGGCCCACCTGATGGTAACTGGTAACCGTCGCCTATAGACATAAGCAGTGGACCACCAACCATAGACATAACAGAGTATACTGTTTTGCCCATGATACTCCCCATGCTTTGCTATTCCTAAGAACTTAGATGTTATTCCTGTTTACCCTGTAAATTCATTGCTCTTCAAATCGAAACGAACACGAATTGGACAGAAGTGCCAAAGCAAACGACTTTTGTACAAAGTCTCCCTCTAGTATCGTTTTATTGTGAGATAAATGAAATTATTTGTACAATTATGTTTCCCATATAATAATAATAATAACTACTTAATAATAATAAGTACTTTTATAATCAATACAATATACATCCATATAGGTGTTACATTAATTACATCATGGTTTTTTTGATGGATGAAAATGGTATGGTAACCCCGCCTGCGCTAACGGGATACGCTGGCGGAACACCAGTGAAGGGTGATAGATGAGAATGAAAACAGGCCAGTTAGCCCATCATGATGAATTCATCAGGAATTAACCATGATAGTTTCCAGGGGGAACCGCGAAGAGGTCGACCTGGTTGGGTATATTGCGAGCAATGGAATTCTCAATCTCCATTACTAACAATTCCTTTCCCCCAAATTTCATCATGGTTAGCTACATATTAAGTAGGTTACTAGTCTTTTGCCGGCTACTTCATATGCGTGGATTTCAAAAGTAGAAAAATCAATTAAATAGTACACTCCTAGATAGTGTATCAAAATAAAACATATACCAATTTCTAAGTGAGATCTTTAGTAATACAATTGTGAAAACCACGTAAAATTTGGTATAATATTTATTGTGTGATAATGGAACAAACATACAAATTTCTAAAAATTATTATTTAGGCTTCTAATACTCTTGTTCCCCTCCCTCACTCCCCATATAAAATTTTCTTGAATATCTCCAATGCTGAAACATTGTCTAATTAAAATTTTATTATATAATTCAGTTAATTTTGAACAATCGTATTTATATAAACAATCAATGCGATTACAAAAAACAGTTCTAAAATTAGATAGCGCTGTTTACCTGTAATTTTGTTACATTATGTTTCGAATATAAAATTATTGTATTAATATTTTAGCAGTATAATTTGTGTAGGAAATAAAATATAAATTATATAATTTGGACGTATTTTCAGAATACTGAATTGTTAATATAACAGTCACAAAGAACATTGAGTCATCCACATTAAAATACAAACGAATTGTTTTAATATTTTTAATACAATGGATATAAATTTGACGCCTGTTATACAATTATAACGTGTAAATTGTTTATGGATGTCAAAAATTTATATATATAATCATTATTATATTTATATCCGTTTATTATATATTACTGAAAATATACCTCCTTCATAGATTGCCATGAGGAAAGGTTTTAAATTTCTAAGCCACTTGCTATCATAGTTGAGCCATCACTTAGTTTGCACGTCGACCTACACTGCGTTAAATATCATCAAATTATAATATAAATAACACACATGAAAACAAAAAAAATTGAGACCAAAATAAGTAAATAAACTGCAAATTTACCATTACGCTTGGTATCCCGTCAGTGAAGTGTAATACATGTAGGCTTCCAACATTTAGAGAAACAGTATTCCCTAGGAAAAACATGCATTAGTTTAAACAAAGATGCTTCTTTCCCATCAATTCTCTATTCTTCGAGTTACAGAAATGCCCTATTTTTTAATTCAGGTTGCCGATTTTTTGTACTCTATTTTTTTATACACTATAAGTCTTTTCGTCTTTTGTTATAACTCTTATTTTTAATTCTATTATCGGGTATCTCGTGCCATACAGAAATATACTGCAAATAATTTTAATTATTATACTTATACATTCGATGGAAAAAAATAAGAAATATTAAAAATAAAAAATGTAAAAAATATACTACATTACAATTAAAAACAAACGCTACAGATAACTATTAATTAATCAGATTAGTAAACAAGCATGATAACTTAAAATAGTAGATCTTAATGCCATTGAAATAAGGTTTTAATTTAATAATATCTAAAAATGGAAAATGTAAATAACATATTAATATAGATAATAAGATATTATATCATAGATGTCTGCATATAGGACAAAGTCAGGTATTTACTAAGTACCAACACTAGGTTGTCGGTCTTCGGTGAACCGTTTCAATCCATTCAGTACGCATTGTATTATGAAAATGTTGCCATGTTACATTTTCCCCCCGATCGTGAGGGGAATAATATAAATAAATTATGAATATTTCGAGTTATAATAGAATACTTATTTCTTATAAAAATCTGTGTTTGTGCAACGACAAGCGACACTGATATCTTGATTCTCAAACACCTTGTTTTTTAACACTTTTGATTTTTTTTTTCTGTAAACTATTTTCTTAACAACAACTAATAGCTAAATTGATTTATAGAAGATTTTAGTATTTATAAATAAAATAATACTTCTTTAATTTTTTATTTTAATTAAAATTGCAAATATTTTTTAATAATTTTCATATACATGCATTACCAATATTTTTGACAGTAAAATAATCAACAATAAAACATTATATTTTGAAAGCTGTTTATTATATTTATAGTATTTATATTGTTATCAAAGACTCCCACATCTCATTAATTTATAAGATATCTATATTTTTGTTATGTTTCGTTTAAAGCACTAATATTATTTAAATAATAATTTATTAAATGAACAAAAAATAAAATAATTTATTGCTCATTGCATATTATTATTAAAAAAAGAACAAATTTCTAATCAAATCACGCAATTTTATTATAACAATAGGGATAATAACAATTGCAACTGGCAACACCGATCCAATGCCTGGCAGTCGTCTTAAAACAGCGTTCGCTATAAGCCGTTTAGAAATTTTATATTCTGAAATGTAGATAAGGGATTTGTGAATGAAGATTAGTGTTTGTTTTATTATTTACTGTCGCTCCAAGTAAATCTCGTGCGGCTTGTTTTTTTTTAATATTAAGCCGTTCGAGATTCACTTAGAATGATGGTGAAATAGTCGTCCATATGGAAGCGTTTGGTATGTTTTTAATTAGATAAAAGTCATTGCAGTTGGTCGACAGTTTTTTTTTTTTTTTTTATAATAGAGGCGAGGATATTGTTTTTTCTTTATGTTTAGTATAGTACTAATATAGTACTTATTATCTGTAGTATATTATTGATGTTTAAATAGGTCATTGCTTTACATCTGACTTATTTCGAAAATTTCTTTTGACAATTAAATTTTCTGAGTAACTCTCTGGTGATAGTAAATATCTATAACCAATAATGAACTGCTTTTTATAACTTTTTAGCAATCTATAAAGTTTACTTCCATATCAGACCTATATTAACCGTATCTCAAGTTATTTTTTTTAGCGAAATAGGTATCTCTCTTCTTTTACACGATCCATATTTAGCACCTTAATAATCATGCAAATATTTACTTGTATTTTTTTTTTATTAACATCTTTATCATTGTTACAAACAGAATTATATTAATTATTACCCGTGACTTTGTTCGCGTGACCGGGATGCAAGTATTGATTGACTGGGATAAAAAGTAGCCTGTGTTCAAATATCCCAAATATTAAATGTATACCAATTTTATAACGATTGGTCGAGCCGTTAAATGCCACAAGTTAACAAATAAACTTATTTTCACATTTACAATATTAGTAGAAGTTTACCTTCGACGAATTATGTAAGTACATATTTATGCTTATCACGTAGAAACCAACAGCATATATTAATCCCAAAATGTCCAATAATCAATTCTGGGAAATAAACTTTATTACAAACGTGTAGAGCTGGTTATTGCATAATACACAAAACGAATGGCATTTGTTGAGTCTGTTACATATGCAAGTCCGGTCGCCCGTTGATTTACTTAAGTTGTATTATAAAAATGAAGATCGATTATAATGTCCAACATACAGACAAAAGGTTTTGACTACTGGTCCTGCAATTTTTTTTTTTTTATACGTGTTGTAGAAATCCACTATTTTAAGGATGAATACGAATGGTAGCTTCGCCTGCGCTGTTAGTTTACGCTACCGGTGAAGAATGATAGGATGATAGGAGAAAATGAATCAGATCGAATAACGGAGACGAATTCACCAAAAATTCACCATGATTCTTCCCATGAATACCGTTTTGATAAAATTAATTAATTAATTATAATTAAATTAAAAAAAAAAAAAACTAAAATTGGTATTTGCACATATGTATGTCGAGCATAATTTGATATGGTTGAAAATATTGCTAATTCATTTTTAACAAATATTTTTATTAATTTATTTATTTGTCAATCAATTATCATTAAAAAATATGCTCACAATGATAAATCCTGATAACGAGTCATTTCACTACTGTTCCCGTTGTGATGTGAATAAAACTCGAAATATCCACATTTAACCGAGCGTTTTAAAATTCAATGTGACAGGCAGCGAACCTACCACCGTCATTTGGTTTATTTTATTTTATTTATTTAATTACTTTATTGTACACTTTTATAATACCTAAGATACATGACAGTGGAAAAAAGTGGTTTTGTCTTATAAATTCAAATTTTCTTATATGTTTTTTCTCCTTTCCCAGATTGCGTTACTTCTGTCAGGCATCATGGCTTTGAAGAAGCTAATGTCACAGAAGAACGGTGGCCACGAGAGCCACGGATGGTCATCAGGTGGCGGCGGTGGCGGTTGGGATCGTAGAGCTTATAACGAGGGCTCAGACTTAGCTTATTCTGCTTACAAACAAGAGTAAACTTACGTAAGCCTGATTTAAGTAGAGCGTGTTTTTCGGAGTCCTAATTTTTCTAATTTATTTTCTGTTTTTTTTTGTGATTTTACCCACCTTTCCATAAAAACGTTTTTCTCCATAATGTTATGGTAATGGTTAGTGAAAATATTATTAATGGTTAATGTGTGTATAATTGATCCAATCATGGGGTCGATTCTTGGTACTTTTTATTAAAAGGCATTATTTATTGTAGTTTTAAGCAACGACTGTATTATAGAATAATTTATTTATTATTATTTATTGAGAAACTGTGCCTAAATAAATACTCATCAATGTTACTCGTAACATGGATTTTTTTTGGACGCCATGTTTTTTCATTTAATATTTCTTTCTTCTACTATAGTTGTAATAAAAATAATACTTATTATTTATTAAAATAAAATAATTGTGAACATATAGTTTCTTGGTTTTATTTTATAATGTCTAATGTTTTAATGAAAAGAAAGACTCATTCAAGGTAAATTAAAAAAAAAATTACTGACTCCTAAATTAAAAAAAAAAACACCAAATATTCACACGACAAGCTACAAAAGTGGATGAAGCAGCAATTATGTATAAATAGACTTCGGTGGTCAATACGTTTACCTATATCTACTTACTTTAGATAGATAGATACTCTTTATTATTTCCTACGAAATATTATTGTAGTAGCCTTATTATAGCATACTGACATTTATTTGTAATTAAAATATAATATAAATAAACCCAAAAAAAAAGAAACTATTTTTATGGCATAGGGTGACCTCCTATGTAAAAAAAAAAAATTATGACTTAGGGTACATCACTCAACGATCATGCGGCATACCTGATGACTAGTGATTACCACTTCCCATAAGTACCTGCATCCCATTAGAAAAATTGTAGTTAAGCTGCTAGCCTTTTAAAAAGGAATATACTCTCATTAATAATTACTTAACTGATTTTTTTTATTCTTACACCTACAGAAAGCTTTTTTCAAAAAACCGAGAGAATCTGGGCATTCATTGTATATTTCGTGCGACTCACGTGCGAGTGACGTATCACTAGTTGCACGAAATATAGGTAAAATGATACCCATGATACTCACACCTCATTCGTTGCCATTTCTAAGGACAAGGTGATATGCCTTCTAATGTAGTAATATCATAATTATTATTGCCTTGCCTTTTCCCATTTATTTACGGTCAGCACAGTATGTCTTCCACTTCCACAAGTTCCTATAATAATATATTTATTAATAATATTTTTTATAGTATAAGCAATTATTTTAAACAAACAGCAATACATAATAGAGTAAGAAACTTACAATAAGCAGAGCAATCTACAGTAAAGTATAGAAAAATTTAAATGTTCAATAGAACGCCATCTATACAAGCCACTTTGTACTAGAAAAGACTTAGAAGCATATAACTTGACTAGATTTTGTAGATAATCTCCATATAAGTTATTTATTTTCCTTGCCAAAAACATTAAATCCTGATATTTCGTAGATTTACAGGACTTTTTTTGTGATACTAAGAATGGCAAACAACTATGGCTGATGACTCACCTTATGAAAAGTGTCAATATCGTCTATAGACATGAACAATATCATGAACATTACAGAATGCACTATTGCCAAGTTATTACGAAAATTACAGATTAGATAAGAATTTATAATAAAATTGTTAAATAGGTGCTTCTATAGACACTAACTAAGAAGAGGACAAAGCAATAAACTAAGTTATGACAATTCTGTGTTACTGTGGCACACTCACGAAATGAAAAATTATGTTACCTCTTTTATGTAGGAGTATTGTTCTTTTTGTATATATATGTATTATTTTATTTCTTTTTCTAAGTGTGTACCAATATCTATTGTTATTTGTGTGCTGTAATGCAAATAAATTATACACATATCTATTTAAAACAACTGACTTGATTTTATATTAATCTCACAACTTTTTCTAGTAGAAGAACTTTATTGCAAGATTTATCATTTTTTTTATTTTATATTTTTAATTAGATCTCATTTCTTTTTGTAGGTAGTTCTCTTTTTTTCTCAGGTAATATATTTTGTCTATCTGCTACATTGCAAATCATCACGATTTCGGGATTTTTAATTTCTTTTCCTCTTTTAAAGTCTAAATACTAACTAGAATTCAAAATTTTATGTTTGTGAAACTTTTTTTTATACAACTTAGAATGGCAAACAAGCTGACGGCCCACCTGATGGAAAGCGGTAACCGTCGCCTATAGACATGAGCAGTACCATGGACATAACAGAGTATACTGTTTCGCCCATGATACCCTCCATGCGTTGCTATTCCTGAGGACTCAGGTGTTATTCCTCTGTACCCAGTAAATTCACGCCATATCCCATCCTTCAAACCGAAACACAGTCATGCAAACACAACTGCTTCACGGTTGAAACACGAATGCGACAGAGGTATCCAAGCAATTGCTAGAAGTACCTTAAAATTTCAATAATCGGTAATTGTGTCAATGGCAAAATTAAAGAAGTTTGACTAGCAATCATTCATAAACTGTAAGGTATAACTATTAGGTATACTGAAAATATAGCCAGTTATAATGTATTTACGTGATAACTAAAAATACAAGTAGTTTTTTCGTGAAACCAGACACAAAGAAAACCTAATGTTTAAATATTTAAATTAATAAATAGCGTATTTTTATAGTTCTCTTTTTATTTTAAAGTAGATTATATTATTGTCTTATTTCAATTAACTTCAGAAAAAAGGAGGTTCACAATTCGGTTGCATTTTTATTTTATTTTAAACAAAATCAGTTACGTAATTTAGTGTTATTTTGATGTTAAACATCAAAAAACTGGTTTTAGCACGAGTCTATTGTTTTTGTAGGACACAATCTTTAATTATTTATATTTTCAATCACGCACAATCGTTCTTTGGAATCAACTTCCAGCAGCGGTATTTCCAAACCGATACGACATCATAACATAACATTCAAGAAAAGAGCATATTCCTTTTTAAAAAGTCGGCAGCGCACTTACAATGTCGTTAGTGTTGTGGGTGATCATGGGCTGCGGTAATCACTTATCATCAGGTGAGCAGCAAGCTCGTTTGCTCCCAGTATTGTAAAAAATATTGTTCCGCCAACAAACTTGATACATAGTTGACTTATAGAGAACGCCTTTAGGTTTTATATTCTCTATGTATTTCTTTGTATGTACATGAAAATCAAATAAATAAATTAGCAAAACAAACATATTACGCTAGTAAAACATGGAAAAAAGAATACACACAAAGCGTTATAATCATATAATATTTTCTTTCTTTTTCTTTAATTATATCGTAGTATAAGTCTAAAATATAATTATTAAATATAATAGGTCATGTAATTGTGTCCCACAAAAGAAAACTTGCTTCAATTTTGACAAGTCCAATTATTTTGATTTTAAAACTAAGCTACTAAACATATTTTGATAAAATTTCTATAGGATCAATGTGTAAGTATATCCTTTCAGATAAAAGATTTTTTTTTTAAATCGGCCGAAAACTGACCGACTTATGCGGTTACAAATATAACAGAAACAACCGAATTAAGAACCTTTTTTTTAAGTAGATTGATAAATACATTTGTGATGCCTCTGATGTCGTGTGTTCTTGCACTGCAATATTCACTTGCCATCCGGTTAACCGTATGCTCATAAAGTCCTGTCACATAAAAAAAGAACTAAGATTTTTACAAGCGTAAAACTTAGTACAAAAGTAGTTTGTATGGGTACCTCTGCTTTATTTACATATCTGTCGTTAAGCAGTTGCGATTGCATAACTTTGTTCGGGTTAACGAGTGAGATATAATGCTGACATTACAGGGTACAGAGAAATAACATCTAGTTTTTAAAAAATAGAATAGTATAGAATATAATAGAACAGAATTGTATAGAACAGAATAGAACAAAACAAAACAGAATAGAACAGAGTACGACAGAATATAAAAGAAATTATCGCTGTGTACATGACAATTCATGAATGATATCATGGGCGTCACATCATCATCATTTCAGTTATTACCCGTCCACTGTTGGACATAAGCTTCCCCCATAGACCGCCATAAAGAACGATCCTAAGCCACCTGTATCCACCGACTCCCTGCAATGCATTTCAAGTCGTCACTCCGTCTAGTGGGGGGTCGTCCTACACTAATTTTGTCCGTACGGGGTCACCACTCAAGAACCTTTCTTCCTCATCGGTTGTCGGTTCGTGCTGTGTGACCAGCCTATTGCCATTTCAGCTTGCTTATCCTTCGGGCTATATCGGTTACTTTGGATCTATTGCTTGTTTGATTGCTATGTAAAAAAACTGGATAATGTCTAAAAGACCACAGTGAAATTTTGTGTGAGCTATATCTGCTCTATTACGAATGTAAATGGTCTTTTAAAACACCAACTGCGTGGTTGGAAATGTTACTTCCTCGTTATCCAAGTATGTTCATTAGGAAGTTTGCATTCACGCAATCATGTAAAGTGCAAATATAGAAATTAATTATTGTTAAATTAAAATTAACGTATTGCTAATACGTTAGTTTATTAATTCGCCCTATATATATATATATATATATATATATATATATATATATATATATATATATATATATATATATATATATATATATATATATATATATATATAGAAAATGAAGAAATAAATATCCGTTACGCCCGTCTCCCGTTGGTGTCCCGTTGTCCCCTTTTCTCCTCTTTTCGCTTCCTCCACATTTTTCAATCTATTTAATACACTTTCGCCGGCTACGGCTACACTTAAATTGGCTCTTCTTCAGCCTTTCTACCATGTGATTGATATACGTCAGTCGAGGACGGCCCCTATCAATATCTCTATTTATTCTTGCTCGATAGAATCTCTTCCGTAATTCTTCTTTTGTTCATCCTCTTCAAATTGTCAAATTAATTTGACTATTTGAAGAGGATAAACATTTCTTTTTATATGTTTACCGCTACATCATCTTTTAGTCCACATACATACATTTATTTTCTCTAGAAAAATATACCAAATTTTTCTTTTTTCTCTTTCACACAAACCTTAATTTATTTATTTATTTAACTCTTTATTGCACCATAAACAAAAATATACAATGACAAACGAATAATTCAAGTGAAATACAGTAACATAAATACAAATTGAAATGTACACATAAAAGTATAAAAGGCGGTTTTATTGGTAAGGCAATTTCTTACAGATAACCTTTGGTTAAAGGAGAACAGATTTTACTTTAGAGATCAGACTTTTACCTGGTAATTACAAGCACAACAAAAAATAATTAGCCAGATAGGTGCAACTGCTATCAAATAATGCGTTTACTTACATTTGCCAATTGATTTTTATTTATACAGATTACAAAGAACGGTGTTATCATCATGATATTAGTCGCTAATCGC